AATAATTTTAATACGAATAAGAAATTTTTTCTTACATNATAATTTTAATACGAATAAGAAATTTCTTCTTGCAAGGGGCGACTAAAGTGATGGGATCCTTGATCTTTATTGAAGTTATTGAATCTAAATGTGTAAAAATCAAACGAGTTAAAAATTTATACTAACTTAAAAAGAATTAAGAAAAAATGCAAAAAATTCATTGCCATACACGGGTTGGTACCTCGTATCCCAAGCGTGTAAAAAATAAGTTTTACCAATTCGGCAACCGTACGTCGCTAACGTCGATTGAAAAAATTAGCTATTTAAGCTAGTTCAAATTTCAAAGTTATTTTTCTCAACTTAAAAGAAGCAAACAAATTTAAATAAGTTTAACTTTCTATGCTATATTAATTTTTTATTTATATAATATTTATGATAATCTGNATTTTAATTTATATAATATTTATGAAAATCTGTACTCCCCTTGTCAGGTATTTTAAAATAAAATAAAATACAAAACCCAGAATTTTAACACAAAAATAGCAAATTTTTGAATACGGTAGTCATTTTTACTATGAAGACAAGTCAAGAGGTCAAATTCTTTTTCAAATTAAAGTATATTACATAAGCTTTAATTTAAGATATATATAAAAGTGTCGGTATTTCCAGAATACTTTCAAAAATTAAATTGAAAATATCTTAGTAACAATACGCATGTTTAAAGTTTTGACCCTCTTTGTTAAAGGGGTATGATCCGATTTACAAAAAAAGCGTGCCAGATGAAAGGGGTATATAAATATTTATTATAAATAAATAATAATATTGATCCATACATTTTTCCAAAAGTTATATAAAATATAAATTAAATAATATAAAATAAAAAATCAAGAATTTTTTCACGGAAATCGTACGTTTTTCTTTAACTTTGATGTCCGTTTTCACCACGAATACAAGTTCAGAGGTCAAATTTTTTTTTTCAAAATAAAGTATATTATATAAGCTTTAATTTAAGATATATATAAAAGAGTCAGTCTTTCCGGAACATTTTCAAAAATTAAATTGAAAATATCCTAGTTTCAATACGCATGTTTAAAGTTTTGACCCCCACTTGTATAAAGGGAAAAGGTCTGATTTAAAAAAAAAGTATGTCGACTGAAAGAGGTATGTATAAAGTATTTATTATTAAAAAATAGAATTGATTCATGCATTTTTTTAAAAGTTATAGCATCATAATGTTAAAAAATGTAAAATATAATATCAAGAATTTTTTCAAAAAAATAGCATATTTTTGCATACGGTAGTCATTTTCACCATGAAGACAAGTCCAGAGGTCAAATTTTTTTTTTTCAAATTAAAGTATATTACAATAGCTTTAATTTAAGATATATATAAAAGTGTCAGTCTTTCCGGAACATTTTCAAAAGTTGAAAAAGTTAATTTTTTGTGAAAAAGTTGTTATTTTGAAACCCTTCCTGTGGGCTGTTAAAGGGTCAAATGTTCACAAAAATATATNTTTTTGTAATTACTTAATGTATGAAAAAATATATAAAATAATAGATAAATATCTAAGGTATCTATAAAAAAAAAAATTATATTGATTCGGTCATTTTTAAAAAAGTTATGGCAATTTTAAGTAAAAAAAAAAAACGGTAGAACAGTGGGTTCGCGGCATAAAATTTGTAATTTTTTGGGGGATTTCCCCCGTTTACG